CAGCTTTCCTGCTCCTCTGATGCTGCTTGGCCTGCTGTGTTCATCCAGCTCTACACCTTGTTATCTCAGATTCTCCAGCATCGGCAGTTCCTACTATCTCTCCCCGTGTCTGTGTGGGTTTCCACTGGGTGCTCCAATTTCCTCCCACAGCCCAAAGATGTGCCGATTGGGTGGATTGGCCATGGGAAATACAGGGTTACAGAGCTAGGCTTGGTCTGTGTTGAATGCTTTTCAGAGGGTCGGTGTGGACTCAAAAGGCTGAATGGCCTGCTTGCACACTGTAGGGATTTTGAGATTTTTCTGGAGAATAATTGATCATTCCCTGGCAGCGTTCTGGGAGCTTGAGAGTTGCGTGTGATTGAAGGACCATTTCTGGCATTGCCGTTTTTTAAGCAGTTGGATGCCATACTTACCTGACCCTGTCACCTCTGGCTGCCTTTCGCAATTTATACAATGGTCTTTTACTTATTGCTAGTTCAGAGGCTATTCATGTGAATGTGGCTTATTATTATAAACTTGGCACCTCTAAATGCAATATACGTTAAATTCGGCCGGTTTACAGTCGACAACTGCCCGTAGTGTTGTAACAATCTCTCTTTTTCAATTTGCTTCTAGTTGATGTTCCGCAAAATGCGTGGATTGAGCGAATTCCCCGAAAAATCCCAGACCACTGGAGATGTCTTGTCTCATCTAACGTCCTCAGTGGACCTAGATTTTGGCTGTGACCGCCCGCTACATGTCACCATGCTCCCTAATCCTTCCCATCTGGAGGCCGTGAACCCAGTCGCTACTGGGAAAACTCGTGGGAGACAGCAATCTCGCCAGGATGGGGATTATTCAGCAAGTGGCTCAGCACAGCCAGGAGACAAAGCCATTTGTGTACAGGTCAGGAATATGTGTGTGTTCTTTATCTAGACAAACGCGCACATACAATAAACTCTCAGACAATGCTGTATTTTAACTTTCAAATTTGTTTTATTCAATCACTGGAACATGGTGTGAAGAAGGAAGAGAAAATCTTAGAGTTTTATCTGTTAAATTAACAAAGACCACTTAAATTGAATTAACAAAACCCTTCAGGACAATGATGTAATATAGTGACCACTATATGCCAATGTAATAATCACTGTACAGTAACAAAGCCCCACAGAGAGGTGTGCATCCAATATTTTTTACCAATGCTTTCTTGTTCGCAGGAACATATTGGCCAATACACTGAGTAAAGCTCCTTGCTGCTGTTACATTGTTGCATGAACTTTCCTGACTTTAACAAGGGGCATGCAGGGTTCAATATTCCCTCTGAAAGATTGTGAAACAATACATCATCATAGAGTTGTAAAGCACAGAAGAAGCCCTTTAGCCCATGGAGTCTGTGCTGACCTACCTACACTAATTCCACCTTACAGCGCTAGGCCAATAGCTTTGATTGTTATGATATTTCAAGTTCTCACCCAAGCACTTTTTAACGGTTGTGAGGTTTCCTGCCTCAACTAGTCTCCCAAGCATTCCAGACCTCAGTGGGTGAAAATATCTTTCCTCAAATCCCCTCCAAGCCTCCTGGCTTTCATCTTTAAAATTATGCCCCCTTGTTATTGACCCTTCAACTAAGGGGAGCACTGCTTTCTATCCACTCTATCCATGCCCCTCATAATCTTGCACATCTCTACCAGGTGCCCTTTCAGTCTTCACTGCTCCAAAGAGAACAGCCCAATGTTATCCAGCTGCTCGTCAGCGCTGACATGCTCCATCCCAGGCAACGTCCTGGAGAATCTCCTCCTCCAGTGTAATTAACTCCTCCCTGTGCTAACCAAAACTGCATACAGTACTCCAGCTGTGGCCCAGCCTAAGTTTGATTTGTATTTCCTGTGATAACCCCTACAAGGTTCATGGGGAATCACTAATTAATCTCACCGTGGAACTCATTGAGTATGAGTTCCCAGGTAGTAGGCAACGGCCTGCCCAGCTGGAACTCTTATAGAGTCAGAGAGTTATACAGCACAGAAACAGACCCCTTGGTCCAACTTGGCCACACTGACCAGATGTCCTAAACTCATCTAGTCCCATTTGCCAGCATTTCCCTGTAGATCCTTCCTATTCAACCCATCCAGATGCCTTTTAAATGTTGCAATTGTACCAGCCCCTACCACCTCCTCTGGCAGTTTATCCCATACACACACCACCCTCTGTGTGAACAGTTGCCCCTCAGGTCTCTTTTTAAATCTTTCCCCTCTCACCTTTAAACCTATACTCTGTGGTTTTGGACTCCCTTACCCTGGAAAAAAGACCATGACTATTCACCATATCCCTGCCACTCATAATTTATAAACCTCTATAAGGTCACCCCTCAGCTTCCAACAACTCCAGGGAAAATAGCCCCAGCTTATTCAGCCTCTCCCTAGAGCTTAAACCCTCCAACCCTAGCAACATCCTTGTAAATCTTTTCTGAACCCTTTCAAGTTTAACAACATCTTTCCTAAAGCAGGGAGACCAGCATTGAATGCAGTGTTCTAAAAATGGCCTAACCAATATCCTCTGCAGCTACAACATGACCTCCTAACTCCTATACTCGATGCACTGACCAATGAAGGCAAGCGCGCCAAACTCTTCCTTCACCACCCTGTCTACATGTGACTCCACTTTCAAGGAACTATATAACCTGCATTCCTAGGTTTCTTTGTTCGGCAGCACTCCCTAGGGCCCTACCATCATTAGTATAAGGCCTGCCCTAGTTTGCCTTTCCAAAATGTAATGCCTTACACTTATCTAAATTAAACTCCATCTATCTCTCCTCAGCCCATTGGCCCATCTGATCAAGGACCCATTGTACCCTGAGATACCCTTCTTCACTCTCTACTACACCACCAATTTTGATGTCTTCTGCAAACTTACTAACCATACCTGTTATATAAATGACAAAAAGCAGTGGACCCAGCACTGCTCCTTGCGGCATAATGCTGGTCACAAGCCTTTGGTCCGAAAAACTACCCTCCACCACCACCCTCTGTCTCCAACCTTCAAGACAATTTTGTATCCAATTTGTTAGCTCCCCCGAATCCCATGTTATCTAACCTTACTAACCAATCTACCATGCAGTATTTTGTCCAAAGTTTTGCTGAAGTCCATATAGATAACGTCTATTTCCCTGCCTTCATCAATCTTCTTTGTTACCTCTTCAAAAAACTCAATCCAGTTCGTGAGATACGATTCCCATGCACACAGCCATGTTGACTATCCCTAATCAGTCCTTGCCTTTCCAAATGCATGTTAATCCTGTCCCTCAGAATCCCCTCCAACAGTGTACCCATCACTGACATCAGGCTCAGCGTTCTATAGTTCCCTGGCTTTTCCTTACAGCCTTTCTTAAATAATGGCACCACATTAGCCAACCTCCATTCTTCTGGCACCTGAGTCTTTTATACAGCAGATCCAGGGATGGATGAGTCTGTCTATCCCAGGCTGGGACTAGTCTATGTATGCCATGAATATTGGCTCTATTTTGGTGTTCAACAAAAAGTGATGCTCCTCTCCACTCAGGCTTCCTAATTTATTAGACCTTTCTCTTAAACCTAAAATCACACATATTGTACAAACATTCCTTGCTCATCAGTTCATAGATCATCCATAAATCATACAAAATATGTTTCTTTTTTTAAAAAAACGTTCTGAAACGTTGATGGTCCAAGGATAAATGAGGCATGTTGGTTACTTGTGGAGGAGTTTTGAAAGTGACAGGTTTTTTCCTCTTCCCTATCCCTTCCACACTTCTCCTCTTTATTACAGGTACATGGAGATGCTTCTTTCCCAGGACAAGGTATTGTTGCTGAAACCTTCACTCTCTCGAATCTCCCTCACTATCGAATCGGCGGCAGCATTCACCTGATTGTCAACAATCAGTTGGGTTATACCACACCCGCTGAGAGAGCCAAATCCTCACTCTATAACAGTGATGTTGGTAAGCTGTTATACCTCACTGGGGGATCACACTGGAGACCAAACCCTGCTATGCTCAGAGTCATCACAATTGTCAAACATTTTTTTTTAAAGTGCAGATTTCCCAATTTACCTGCTTTTGAGATTTGGGTTGATGGAAACCACAGACCAGGTTTCTGTACTTAACAAGAATTGCTATTTATTATGAATAAATAGATTCTAGCTTTGGATCAACAGTTATGAACCATCCAATATAACTGTGCAATTTAAAACTTTAACCCGCTTAAACTCCTGCTCTGTGCACACACAGACACACAAAGAAATGGGTGTTGTGGATGGAGTGAAAGACTGGGAAGACAGGTTCCTGTCCAAAGGGTTTGCTGAGAAGATACCTCTATGATCAGAACAATCTTCTTAATCTTCCTTCTTCAGGTATTTTCACTTGTTTGCAGAAGGTACAGGGTGACTGGTTCACAACTTATAAAGTCTCTGACTTGTTAACTAAAAATCACAGCTTACAGCAACTGGTGAGGGGAAATAAACTGGCTACCTTCAGGCTCAATAAAAATAACAAGAGCAGCTTCTGCCCAAACATTCACATGCCCCCCAAACTCTGCAACTACCTGGGAGCCAGTCATATAGTTATTTGCACACAGGAGGCCTCTGTCATCGAGAAGTAGTCACTGGTTCTCAGACCAATCAGTTGCTGGCCAAAGCTCCATTCACACACAGACTTCTCCCCATCTCCAGCTTGTCTGTTACTCAACTTTTACCACTGCTTCAACCAGCAGCAGTTAAGCAACACTTATAATGAGTGTCAGGTAATTTGCTTTTAAAAAGTGCAAAAACCCTTGGTTTTAAATCAATCCTTTTCCCATTCCAGTCCACATTCAGATATTACAGAAAAGTTAAAGGACAATGTCTTTTCAAAGCTTATTCATTCTTGTGATGCTGGTCATCAACAGAAGCAGCAAGATGTTGAACTTTAACCCAGGGACTAAACTGATGAGAGGTATTGCTTTAAGTGTAGACTTGTTGCTGACCATATGCAGAGGCATATCTACAGATGGGTCTTGTGATGGATAATGTTCACAAGCCTGAACCTCCAAAAGGAATGTCTCTGACTTGGTATGATGATATGGAGTGTGAGAAACAAAATGGAAAAACTCATTAAAATATCTTTCATGACCTCAGGATGTCCCAGATTTACTTTACAGCCAATGAAGTAAAGCCACTGTTGTCAAGTACAAGAAATAGCACCCAGTTTGCACACAGCAATCTCCCACAGACAGAAATATGATAATGATCAGGCGACCTATGTTTTGTAATGTCAATTTGAGGGTTAACTATTGGCCAGAACACTGGTATTAAAATTGACTCTTCGTCAGGTGTAGCTACTATTGCATTCTGAGACAGCCAGCCTTGTGAGCATTCTCAGTGAGACTAATAAAGTAAAGGATTTTTTATGTGCAGAATGTGTTTCACTTTGACAGAATGGGCAGGTCGACTGATCACCACACCCTGGTTTCAAATGAGGGTCGAATTGTCCATTTAGAAAACACCACCTTTTTGTCGGCTAATGCTTGGTTTGAAAACGCTGTGTTTTTATTTCTGTGTGAATTCCAGGTAAGATGGTTCATTGTGCTGTGATTCATGTGAATGGCGACGATGCAGAAGAAGTAATTCGAGCCACAAGACTGGCTGTTGACTATCAGCGGCGTTTCCGAAAGGACGTGATCATAGACTTACTCTGCTACAGGCAGTGGGGCCACAATGAACTCGATGACCCAACCTTCACAAACCCCACCATGTACAAGATTATCAGGTGGGGCGATGAAAGAAACCATGTTTATTGGTGAGCTCTTGAACGCCACTCTGTAACCAGTGATGTATCAATGGGCATTCTATCCGTCCATGTATCAAAAGAGGAATTGTCAAAACTGAAATAACTGTAGGAGTGGCATGGTGAGTCAGAGGGTTAGCACTGCTACCTAACAGTGCCAGGGACCCTGGTTCGATTCCACCCTCTGGCAACTGTCTGCATAGGTTTCCTCCGGGTGCTCCCGTTTCCTCCCACAGTCCAGAGATGTGCAGCCTAGGTGGATCGGCCATGCTAAATTGCCCATAGTGTTGAGGGATGCACAGGCTAGGTGGGCTAGCCGTGGGAAATGCAGCATTACAAGTATAGTGTGGGATTGGGTGGGATGCTCTTTGGAGGCTCAGTGTGGACTTGATGGCCCAAATGGCCTGCTTCCACACTGTAGGGATTCTATGCTGTCAGGTCATGTTGAATATTTCTGGAAAAGACGAAAGAAGAGGTGTACGTGGAATCAGCTGGCGAGGAGAGACCAATCTTTCTAGTCTTATTTCTGCTCCGTTTTGATGAGTATTTACTAGCAATTGATTTTTAGATGTACAACTTAAAACTAATCTATCTATGATAACAAAAGTACAGCAACATTGAAACTAAACAAATGTTCCTAAATTGAAAGAATTTAAACAATTCAAGGGAAAAGAAATCCTGGAATAATTCTCACTAATGTACAGCCTCCACTGTGTTGCTCAGCACAGTCATTCAGGCTTCTGATATTTTTCCCCATCGTATTACTTGCTGTTTTACATTCTAATTTGCATTTGTGGTTTGCCTGCTCCATAGAAAGGGTATAATAGGAATGACATGTTGGAGCAAATTGATCACCCACATATTTTCTCCAATGTAGTTGTGAAAAGGCTCTCTGATGCTTTCCGGTCTTCTTTCTGAACTTTGTGTCAATGTTGTTGATGTGAACAATGAGGAGGGTGAAGGGGAGGGGCGATGGAGGGGAGGAGAAGAAAGAGGGAAACAGCCTCTAACTGCACTCTGCACCGCTATGATTGGTTACAGGATTAATTTTGATCTTTTAGAATATGGGCATTTGGACCACTGAAGTTATCTGAGTAACATATTAGGAAAGAATATATGCCTTAGAGCCAGGGAAAATGGTGATGTAGTGGTGTGTGGTTGGATTAGCAGACCAGATGAACAAGGTGATATTCTGGTTCAAATCCCATCATGGCTGTTGTTGGGAATTTTAAATTCATTTAATAGCCTGGAATTGAAAGCTAATCATGAAATTTATCATTGACTGCTGTAAAAATCCATTTGGTTCATTAATATCCTTTAAGCTGTCCTTACCTGGCTCTAAATCCATGGCAAAATGGTTGATTCTTAACTGCCCCTCAGTTCAAGGGCAGTTAGCGATAGGCAACAAATGCTAGTTTTGCCAGAAATGCAACATCCCGTGAAAGAATTAAAAACAAAGAAATAAATGATGGGTTAAAAACTGAAAGAACTGCGGACGCTGTAAATCAGGAACAAAAACAAAGTTGCTAGAAAAGCTCAGCAGGTCTGGCAGCATCTGTGAAGGAGAAAACAGAGTTAATGTTTCCGGTTTGGTGACCCTTCCTCAGTTTACCTGACCCGAAACGTTAACCATGTTTTTTACTTCACAGATGCTGCCAGACCTGCTGAGCTTTTCTAGCAACTTTTGTTTTTGTTCCAAATAAATGATGGGACTAGAAGAGGTGTAATTGATGAGCAGAAGATCAGCTATCCGTGTTAATAGGAACAATTATGATCCAAAACTGTGGAAATCTGAGTCCAGAAGACTGTAAAATGCTTAATGAAAGGTGAGATGCTATCTCTTAAAACTTCCCTTGAATTCATTGAAACCAAATAGAAAGCTGACAACAGTGCAATCAGTTTTGGTATGGGGTTGGCAGAATAATATGACCAATGATTGGAGGCTCAGTGCCCCAGCTGTAGTCCGAAGAGTGTGCTTTTAGCAAAGCAGTCACCCAGTTTGTACTTGGTCTCCAGTGATGAGGAAACCACATCGTGAGCACAGCAGTGACACTTGCTTGAAAACATCCAGAAACCCATTGCCAAGCCTCCCAGTAAAATGACAAAGCAACACATGCAGAGTTCCATTTGTTTGGTCTAGAGTATACCCATTATCTGACTATAGAGAAGTCCCCATTAACTAACCCAGTGAGGCTGGAGGCCAGGCAAGACTCTTCAGTAACACATTAAAAGGAAACTGACTATAACAGGCAAGATTGTGTCTCAATTTTTCCCAATTCTCAGAAGTAAACATAGCACAACTAATATCAGGAAAAGTCTGTATGTGTGGTTTGTTTAGGTCTAATCCCCATTGTACAGGTCAGGCCGGTGGTGTAGTCATTCTATCAATGTGATGGCTATTTCAATTTGTACTCCTTTTCCTCATAGTGATCTTTTCTCTGAAGGTTCTGAGTCTTTGGAACTCCTTGCCATTGAGAGCAAGGGGGAGAGTCCTTGTGTAATGCTGACATAGATTCTTACATAGAAACATAGAACATAGGAGCATGAAGAGGCCATTCAGCCCTTCGAGTCTGCTGCACCATCCTTCACAATCAGTCAGGGAATCAAGGGTTGCAGGGAACGGGCAGGAAAGTGACTGTGAGAAATGTTGGATCAGCCATGATCCTATTGAATGGCAGAACAGGCTTGATGGGCTGAAGGGCCTACTCCTGTTCATCTGTCATATAGTGTCTGACTTTGCTTTCCCTTCTCGTTTCCACAGATCTCGTAAAAGTATTCCAGACTTGTACTCGGAGCAGTTAGTAGCAGATGGCCTCCTGACTGAGCAGGAGGTTTCCAGCATTAAAACTTCTTATTATTCTAAACTGAATGACCGTTTAACAAACACGGGGTCATTTTCACCGATGGCTCCGAACCTCCAAGCTCACTGGAGTGGCTTGGTGGAACCTTCATTTAGGATCAGTACATGGGATACTGGAATGCCTATAGACCTGCTCAAGTACGTAGGTGCCAAGTCTGTGGAGGTTCCTAGGGAAATAATCATGCATGGTCATCTGGTGAAAACACATGTACAGGCAAGTTTCAGGAGCAGAAGAAATGGAACACCTCGGTTATTGAAGTGTGTATTGATTCTAATATTAAATCGTCACCTAAGACCCCTTGAAAAGTACAACACTGTGTTCAATATAACAGTCATCACTCATTTTTATAAGAAGGAATTTTGTTTTGCTTGATCCACAACTCAATTAAGCAGTTTACATGTACTGTATTCCTGTACATTGACCCTGTTTGAGTAGATTTCAGCTGATTCTTGGCTCTCTTCTGACATTGGATTGTTACAAGCAGTTTCTGTGGGAAAATGGTCTGATTCTCCTTCACAGCCCTGCTATACAAACCCACTGTTCAAGGAAACGGCTATAAAATTCTGTAAACTCCATTAGCATGCCCTTCTAAGTTTGGATTTATGATAATTCTGTAATAATTCAAATTTCTTTTCTATCCCTTTAGGCTGGAAAGCTTCCCATCAGATTTTCAGTGGTTATACTTCATATTTCCTCAAATTTATAACTTTGGAACTGTTTACCATTGTAAACATTTCCCTTTTTAACAATGAAACATTTTAACTAAATCAAAGTCTTCCCTTTTTAACAAGTGGAAATATTTAACTTTTTTTCTTCTGTAACTTAATGGCTGATACCACAATCATCTTTGAACAGCAACAGAGAATGAGCAGAGAGAATATCTCCCCCCTTTTGATTCCTTAACCAAGACTGCACACAGTTATCCAGATTGGCGATTGTCCAATTCTTTGTACAATAAGCTCCCTTTTGAAAGATAACGCTATCCTTTTTTGTCGTTGGAATTTCATCCTTTATTTAAATTGCAGCTGAGCAGAATCCTGTTAAAAAAGAGAAGATAATTTTAGCTTTAATCATTTCTTCTCAAACCAACTTTGTTGATAATTTATTCCTCTGTCCCTTTTGTTACTTCCAGACTTGATGTTTTCCTAACCAGCACCCTATTTTAACTAGTGCTTTACTCAACCACTGCTTTCTGTATCTCAAATCATTCCAAATCTCATTCACCCTGTGCTTACTGACCTCCACTAATTTGCCACTGGACCAAGCCTCAATTTTCGAATCTTTATCCTGATTTTCATATTGTACTATGGCCTCACTCCTCCCCTATCTGTGCAACATCCCTTGAGCCCTACAACTCTCCAAAATATCTGCACCCTGCAATTCTGGCATTTTGAAAACTACTTGATTTTAATCGCACCTGAATTGGTGGCTATCAATATTCTCCCAAATTTTATTTTGTGCAGAGTTCCACAGACTGTGTGTGAGGCAGTGGCTGCTATGTTGCAAAGGTCAATGAGTTGGCATGCCAGTTGGAGTGCATGGAACATTCCAGAAGCTGTGTGGTGCGCAGCCATGTTTTTAACTGCCTTGGTCCTTTATTATTATTATCTCTGGAAGTCCATTCTGAGACCTCTCCGACCACCTTTCATACTTTTAAAAAGATGATTGAAAGGTACATTTATCGGAGTAAACTTTTGGTTATCCTTCCTAGTTTCTCCTTGTGCAGATCAGTGTCAAAAAATATCAGTGGGTGGAATTTCTCGGGCACCTGAATGAAGTGGGCTGTGGCTAGTTCTCTGGCAGAATGGTTTGAGACGTCCAACAAGGCCTTACCTCAATGTCGGGAGCAACTCGCTGCATTTTTTAATGCTTTTGTTGAGCGTTGAGGTGCGTTCCTCATGAGCAAGTTGTCAAATAAGCGGGGGGATTATAACTCATTAATAGTCTAAGGGGCAGGCTGCAAAACCTGAGCTGATGGAATAACCTACAAACCTGCTCATTCCTCTTGATGTTTAGGCTAGATTGCAGAAACTGGAAGAGGGCACAAAGCTGGACTGGTCTACAGCAGAGTCACTGGCTATTGGAACTTTACTGTGCCAAGGTAACAACTTTTAAAATATTCTTTCATGGGAGATGGGCACCTCTGGCAAAGTCAGCATTTGTTGCCTGTCTCTAATTGCCCTTGAATGCAGTGAGTTGCACTACTGCTTCAGAGGACAGTTAAGAATAAACCAAATTGCTGTGGGTCATGTGTAGGACAGACTGCAGTTCGGAGAACAAAAATCCTTCCTTAAAGGAGATTAGATTGATTTAATAGCTGATAGTTGCATAGTCAATTGCTTTCTGATTTGAGATTTATTAATTAATAGACTATAAATTGTACTGGCTGTTAAGTGGGATTTGAACCTGTGGACGTTGGGGTAGCTAGATTACTAGTTGAGTGACAGTGCATCACTATCTCCATGTTGTAATAAATATATCGTGCTGGTGAATTGACTTCTGGGCTCAGACTCCGTTAGATTCCCAAAGGTCACCAGTTCTGGACAAACAGCTCTCATCATATAAACTACAAAAAATAGGTTATATTTTTTGCAATGTATAAGGGCCTTGATCACATCTCGTGTGAAGCTTGCCTGAAAGCGGGTAGGTAAAAATTGCAAGTCTCTTTGGCTGTCAGATAAAACATAATCTTTTTTACTTAAACATGGTAAACCTCTGCCATGAGGCAGCTAGATGTTTTTAACCCACGTGTTTATGACCCACCTCTGAAGCAAGTAGAACTTGGACCCAGGCCTCCTGGCTCTGAGGTAGGCACATTACCATTGTGAAATAAGGGGCTGCTATTGAGAACCATCTTGTAGAAATCATGTGATTTACATTTGAGCCCTCACTGATTTTTCATTATTTTTATCTTATTCTTTTTATCGATTTTGCTTTGGATCGGTGAACAGGGAACTGTGAGCTTAAAGATGACTTTTGGACCTTGGGTAACATCTTGTGTTGAAAGGAAAACAGACCAAAACAAGCCTTTGTTTGTTCATAAGGCCAGGCCTGGAAGTTAATTGTATTTTGGTTCCTGATCAAAAGATTCTGTAGATGCTTCGTCACCAGGGAAGAGCATTATGTTTAAACAGAGAGCAGAAGTTGGCTGTTAAACAGGGTCAGCACCTGGGAATTGGTTCCAGCAAGTCTGGAAAATACCTTCTGCTCAAGCAGATGGCAGCTGTTGAATGGTAACTGGGACTTTGTGGAGGAGACGGTCAGCCTGTTAGGAAGCGGTCAGAGTTTGTATTGGGTTTTTAGATTATTTTCTGGAGAGAAGAGGTCTGCATATTGATGCTACAACATGAAGATTTGAAAGTTCCCTGCCTAATCTCCCATGAACAGCTCTGGGAAGCTCAGAGAATAGAAACTACATTATAAATAATACCGTCTTTATCTTTGTGAACTGTAAGGGTGACTCTGATCGATATTGTCAGAAAATCAACAAAGAAACCATCGTCTGTGCCAGTGGAACAACACATTGCAAAAACCACTTAAACCGGAGTCAAGAACTGATTATACACAAAGTCTGGGATTGGTTAATGAAAGATCTGGTTATGAACAATTGGGGTCAATTTTGAGGGCCTTTGATGGTTTTAATTTTACGATATTGCAGACACATTGCTAGGCTGATTTTCGTTTAGGTGTCTGTCTCCATGTCATAACATTTGCTTCGCTTCCCAACAATAATGTAAATGATCTCATTTACATATTCCCATTAACCCTTTATACTACAGATACTAGTATGAAATCTGTCTGTGGATGACCTTATTTATCATGTTTAGTTTTTGGAAATCTTGACCTGGCTTGACCTAGCGAAGATGTTAAGGCAATACAATTGATCCCTATCCTTAAACCAGTCAGTGTTCTTTAGCCTGATGTCTGCTCACTAACTGCTACTAGAAAATCTGTGCATGTGAGTGTGGTTCTGTGGGTTGCTATGTGGGTTCACAACACACAAGAATTGCATCTTACTCTAGGTACAACAATTTCACTCAAACTCCGAAAAGAAATGGGGTTAAAACAGAAGGATTTAAACATGTTATTGTAACCTTGGCTTGTTATTTTTAAACAGCGTTACTTTTAAATCGAACATTCCTTTTTAAGAACAATTAACTACTGTGAATGACTGACACAAGTGATGAATAGGTACGTAGTGAATATTTGATTGAAAATGTTTTTCCTTATGAAGATTTTAATGTGCGTATAAGTGGGCAGGACGTTGGACGCGGCACCTTCAGCCAACGACATGCAACGGTTGTTTGCCAGGAAACTGGTGACACTTACATCCCACTCAACCATATGAGTCCAGAACAAAAAGGATTTTTTGAGGTAAAAAGTTCCATGATTTTATTTGTGACCTGTTGATTAAAATGTTTTATTTTGGTGACTTGCTGTGAAGAATTTCAGCCACTTGCTTAAAAAGAATGGCAGTCACAGAGTGTCAGGAGGACTTTTTTGCAGATTGTTCATTCCCTGAAACATTCCAAGCCACTCACCATCCTGACTTGGAAACTAAATCACTCTTCCTTCACTGTTGCCAGGCCAAAAATCTTCCAATCCCAACAGTAATGTGGCTGCAGCTGTACTAGATGGTCTGAAGTCATTCGAAAAAGTGGTTTGCTACTATCTTCTGAAGGGCTTCTTCCAGTCTGGCCTACTGCTGACAATACTGCCTCCTTCACACTGATTAAACCATGTGCAGACTAGGTGACCACCTCCACTCTGGCCATGGCAATCCAAAGAATTCTTACAGTGTGGAAGCAGGCTATTCAGCCCAAACACACTGACCCTCTGAAAGACCATCCCACCGAGACCCACCCTTTATCCTATCCCTGCATTTCCCACTCTAGACACTACAGGCAATTTAGCATGGCCAATCCATCTAACCTACACATCTTTGGATATTGGGAGGAAACCCACGCAGACACGGGGAGAATGTGCCAACTCCACACAGACAGTCGCCCAAGGGTGGAATCAAACCCGGGTCCCTGGCACTGTGAGGCAGCAGTGCTAACCACTGAGCCGTCATGCCACAATGACCCTGACCTTTCACTTGCTTGCCATTTCAATACAACTTCCTTGATCCCCTGCTGGCAGTATAGCTCAGTTGGCTGGATGGCTGATTTGTGATGTAGAGGGATACCAACAACATGGGTTCAATACCCACACTGTCTCATGTTATCATGAAGGACTCTCCTTCTCAATCTCTCCCCTCACTTGAGGTGTGCTGACCCTCAGGTTAAATCACCACTAGTTGTCTCTCTTTGTAATGAGAGAGCAGCCTTATGGTCCACTAGGACTCTAGTGACTTTAACTTTTTAGTAGGTACAAGAAAAATAATGTAATATCTTTTTTCATCAGGTCTGTAACAGTCCATTGTCTGAAGAGGCAGTGCTAGGTTTTGAGTACGGGATGAGTATTGAAAGCCCAAAGCTACTTCCGATATGGGAAGCCCAATTTGGGGACTTCTTCAATGGCGCTCAAATTATATTTGACACATTTATCTCTGGAGGTGAGATTTTAATCCAGTAGCTGCCCAGTGGGTTGGTCAGATTATAAGGATATTCATGCATGGCATGCTTTGGATGGGGGATTTCCCAGTTTCATCTCCTTCATACTTGTGTGTTTCAACAGTTCACATGGTTATCCTTTTCTTTTTGTTTTGTTAACTTGCTGCTTCCTTCCCACCCTCTCTCTCTGTCTGTCCACTTTCTGTCTCTCCACACTCTTTCTCCCCCCAACTCTCTCTCTCTTTCTCCCCCCAACACTCTCTCTCTCTCTCTTTCTGTTTGTTTGTTGCATGAGTGAGTACCTGAAACTCACTCCATTTGTGTCATTTGAAAGTGTACACAAATAATTTGCACAGTCTTGTACTTGAAGCAGCTAGAATTTTCAACCTCTGTTGAAAATCTGAATCTATCACTTTGTGTCCTAAGTACTATCTTTCTGGCAGGTGAGGCAAAATGGTTGCTGCAAAGTGGAATTGTTATTCTCCTCCCCCATGGCTATGATGGTGCAGGCCCAGAACACTCCTCCTGTCGTTTGGAGCGTTTTCTGCAGGTAAGCAACCTCTACCAGAATCCTAAATAGTCCTTACACAGCTATCAAGATAGGACATGAGTTAATCCATGCTGCTCACACTCCTTTTTCAGTTTCCAAGTACAGTAAGAGATGATCCATGTTCTCCATTTGATCAATTGCTGAACATCCAAAAGGCATCACAACAGAATAGCAAACTTGGACCACAGTCCCATGCTGTCTGTTTCCTACCACATTATAAGACCTGGTGTTTGACGCAGCATATTGAGGTTTACTTGGACAGATTCCAGGCTTATACTTGTCTAGTCAGAGTTTTATTCCAATTCTTACCTCTCAAAACTTCAACCTACTGATTACTGAAGAGTTCCAAAGAAGACTTGTATCAGACTTGAAATATTAACTCTGTTTCTGACTTCACAGATGCTGCCAGAACTGTTGAGTTTCTCTAGAACTTCCTGGTTTTATTTCAGATTTCTAATATTTGCAGTACTTTGGTTTTATCCAATATACTGCTTGTAATATGGGGAGGTGATGGCCTAGTGGTATTATCACTGGACTATTAATCCAGTGACCCAGGTAATATTCTGTGGAGCTGGGTTCAAATCCTGTCATGGCAGATGGTGGAATTAAGAGTCTAATGATGACCATGAATCCAGTGTCAGGAAAAACCCATCGGTTCACTAATCTCCTTTAGGGAAGAGAACTGCCATCCTTACCTGGTCTGGCCTACATGTGACTCCAGACCCACAGCAATGTGGTTGACTCTTAACTAACCTCTGGGTAGTTAGGGATGAGCAAAGAAGGAATGATGCCCCCATGAATTAATTTTTTAAAAAAAGCAGATGCCAAATCTGGCATCTAACTGACTTCTGGATAGAAGAAAGGCTTGGATCATTGAGCTTTCAGCTGCAGATGAAGTAATTGGTTTGCAATAGGAAAAAGAAGAAGCCATTCAGCCTTTGACCATTACTATCCTCTTCAGTTTGATCTGCAGCTTAACTTCACTGAATTGATTTAGTTCCACATTCTTTGACACTTGAACAGAAATCTGTAGAAATGAGTTTCTGCAAATCTTTCGTGTGAAACATTGCTCCTAATTTTACTCCCAAGTGGTTTATGTTACAATTAAGATTATATCCTGCGAGATTCACTTTTTTTCCCACCAGTGGAGTTAGACTAACAACAGCGAAACTATCAAATCCTACCCCTCAACCTTTTCCAATCGAATTCACACCAAGGCAAGAATTTCATAGAATCCATACATTGTGGAAGCAGGCCATTCAGCCCATTGGGTCCACACAGACCCTCTGAAGAGCATCCCACCCAGACCCACCCCCACCCTATCCCTGCATTTTCCACCCTAGACACTATGGACAAATTAGCATGGCCAATCCACCTACCCTGCACATCTTTGGACTGTGGGAGGAAACCCACACAGACACTGGGAGAATGTGCAAACGCCACACAGACAGTCACCCAAGGCTGGAATCGAACCCAGACCCTGGCACTGTGAGGCACCGGTGCTAACCACGAGCCACCATGCTGCCCCAATTTGCAACTTTTATCATAATTTAACCCTTTAATCACCATCCTGTTTCATTTCATGTAAATCTGCATAGAAGCACCCCCAGAAACTGATACATCCTTTCCTATATGTGATGCTCAATATTGAAAGTACAAATTGGTAGCTCCATTTCTTGCATTACTACAATGACACCATTTCAAAAGGTCTTCATTAGCTGTACTGTGCTTTAGTCATGTCCTGAAATAAAGAAAGTTGCTGTTACAGTCCAACATCTTCCCTTTTTAGTTAAGTGGGATTGTTCATTTTTTTAACACTGTAGGTAGACAACTTCAAAAGAGCAAACTGGCAGGGAACTAATGGAACACAGCGTTTATCAAAAAACCTCCTTTTCTCCAACAGATGAGCGACAGCAAGGAGGAAGGTATTGACGGAGACAATGTCAACATGTTCATTGTACATCCAACTACTCCAGCACAATACTATCACTTACTGCGCCGGCAGATGGTTCGAAACTTCCGTAAACCCCTGATTGTAGCCTCCCCGAAAATGTTGCTGCGTCTCCCAGTGAGTACACATTACACTTTGATATGATCGCTCGGGTACTGGGCAATATTCATTTTGGAAATGTTCTCACTCACCTTGTTTGCAGTGAGCTTATTTGAGTAGGTGGGAAATTGAGCATAACCATAACGGAGATGTTTTGAAGATAATCGTGCATTTATAATCCTCCCTATTTCTCACTTTACCCAAGCAGGTAAAGCGTTTAATGATAACACATGTCTTCAAGCTATACTGCAGTTTAGTGAGCACGTTTTCCAGGTTTACACTTTAGGGCAGTACTGGATGAGTGAGTGCTTCATTGATGTAGGTGTTCGTGTCTCATAAAGTTACATTCAGATGTATGAATTAGGAGCATACGTAGGCTATTCGGCCCCTCAAGCCTTCTCTGCCATTCAATAAGATTATGGATGACCTGTTTACATTTTGATTCCACATTCCTTCTATTCTATAACCTTCGATCCACTTGCCTAAAAAGAACCTGTCTGCCTCTACTTTAAAAGTATTCAATGACACAGCCTTCCGACATGGAGTTTCAAAGTAGCACAACCCTGTGAGAAAAGAATTTTGCTTTATTTTGGGCCTAAGAGGGTGACCCGTCTTTTTGAAACAGAGCTCCTTAGTCCTGAATTCACCTACAAGAGGACACATCCTTTCCACATCTACTTGCTCAAGGTCATTCAGGATATTGTATATCCCAGTGAGGTCATCCTTCATCCTTCTAAATTTCAATGGACAAGTCTGTCCAACCTTTCCCTCTCAGACAGCTCACTTGGTCCATGTGTCAGGCTATTGGAAACTCCTCTGAACCACTCCTGACACATTAGTATTCTTCCTTAAATAAGGAGACCAAAATCCAACACAGTATTTCAGATGTGGTCTCTCCAATCCCCTGTATAACTGAGGCATAACATTCTTATTTTTGTTTTTAATTTTTCTCGTAATAAAGGATTGTGTTTCATTAGCCTTCTTGATTACATGCTGGACTTACTTACAAACCTTCTTTTAGTGATTCGTGCACTGGAACACCTAGACCTGTCTGTACCTTGGGATTATGCAGTTGTTCTCCGCTTGAGTAATAATGTGTTTTTTTAACTCTTCTTGCCAAAGTGAACAACTTCATGTTTTCCCACATTATACATTATTCATCTGTCAGATTTCTGCCCACTCACTTAACCTATCTGTGTCCATCTGCCATCTCCTTCTGTCTTTTTCACAACATACTTTCCTTCCTATTTTTGTGTCTTTTGCAAATTTCAGCTACCATTCCTTCAGTCCTTTCCTCTTTTTGTAATCAACATGTTTAGAGATGTTATTGCACGCCCCTGGAGTGCTTGGGACTTAAAACTCAGGCCTCCCAGTCCAGGGATAGGAATACTACCACTGTACCCAGTCACTTCCTCTAACTATTTGATTTAAATTGTGAAAAGCTGAGGCCTTGGGTCCTTTTTGAATAAGCTATTTTGAATAAAGATTATTTTGTCTTGTCTGTGTCGACCATTTAATGAAGGAGTTCTTCAAATGTTCAGGACAATATACATCCTTCAGTGGACAGCACAAAAACACGGATTCTCCAGTGATTTATCCAGTTTGTTGTTTGTGTGATCCTGCTGTGCACAAAACGGTTGCTCGCAGAGCAAATGACAACACTTGAAAAAAATTGATCCTTGATTTTGAAACCTGTGGTAATATCCTGAGGAAATGAAAGATGCTATGTAAATACAAGTTATTTTTCTGAAATATAGCATCATTATGGGTAAATATTTCAAGAATCAAAAAAGTTTTATTCTTCAAAATAAAGTCCAGACAGGACTGTCTGTCCAATTGTAGTTAATGAGAGGTTAAACCTCTCCCTTTAATCATAGAATCTCTACAACTCCGTAGTGTGGAAGCAAGCCATTTGGCCTATCAAGACTACAGTACCCATGTGAAGGGCATCCCACCCAGACCCCCAGCCCCAGGCATCCTCCCCTTCCAGACCCCAGACCCCTCCCCCCTATCCCTGTAACCCTGCATTTCCCATGGCAATCTACCTAGCCTGGACACTATGTGCAATTTAGCATGGCCAATCCACCTAACACATCTTTGGACTGTGGGAGGAAACTGGAGCAGCCAGAGGAAACCAACACAGACACGGGGAGAAATTGCAAACTCCACATAGCCAATCACCCGGGGGTGGAATCGAACTCAGGTCCCTGGCACTGTAAGGCAGCAGTGCGAGCCACTGTGCTGCCCCCATCTAATATTAATCTGTGTAATGTTGCCAAAGAGAGTAGCAAGCTTGAAGATTGTGTTTGAAAATCCTCCCAAAGGATGCCTAAGACTTTTTGATAGAAAAGAGACGATGAGAGTAAATTTGCAAGAAACGTAAAGCAGATTGTAAACACTTTTATAGGTGCGAAAGGAAACATTTCAACCTGGGTGCGTTAAAGGCAGAGACGGGAGATTTATGGTTAGGTATAAAGAAGTGGCAAACACATTGAACAATACTTTCAAATCTGCCTTTGTGGTGAACGATGCAAACAGTTTTCCATATGTAATTGCAAAACAGGGAAACATAGTAATGGAGAACTGAATGGAAATAGGCAGAGAAAAAGTAATCTCTTTGATAAAGGAAGTGGTAGATGCAAGTACAGTTAAAACATTTAAAAGACATTTGGACAGGTACAGGAATAAGTAAGGTTTGGAGGGATATAGGCCAAATGCAGGCTGATGGGACTAGTTTAGTTTGGGAAACTTACTTGCCATGGAGGAGTTGGATTGAAGAGTCTGTTTCGATGCTGTATCGCTCCACCAGCCACTTTTTTTTTTGTAGAGTCAATGAATGAAGGTTATGCACTCAAAATGATTGGCAAAAAAGTTGAAGTGCTGAGGAGAAATGCTTTGGGATCTGAAGGCTGAAAAGGTGGTGGAAACCAATTCCTTAATTTTCAAAAGGGAGTTGGACACGTCCTTGAAGATGAGGGAGACACAGGGTCCTGGGCAAAAAGCAGAGTGTGAGATTGAGCATGAATGTTCTTTGCACATTGTACTGAGTGTCTTCTCTGTCTTTGCTGTGAGTTGCTCTCTGGGGGGAAAGTAATTGAGAAATGCGAGGGAAGGTGAGGAAGAAGGATGAGAAGGAGAAAGGACATTAGAAGGAAAACAAACAATGAGATTAGTAAGAACAAGAAAAGAGGGTTCTTCTGCATGCCAGGTCTGCTTCAGATTGTGCATCCCTGTTGGTTCTACACACACCTGTAGCTGATTCTTTAAAATTAATGTTCATCAACTCCAGTCAAAATCCTCTGTTCACTGCTTCCAGTCCTGTTACAATGCTTTGACTCAGTTACTCGATCCTCTGTATGACTTAGAATTCTGTTTCTTCTAGTGCTTCAAAGCCATGATGTCTTCATGCCTGGTGCCTGTCTCTCCAATAGTTGCTTCTTCTCTCTTTTTCCCTTCTCTCCGTAACCTTAGCTAAAATCTTCAGATTCTGTTTTGCCAGCTGCAGCTCAGAGACTTGTCCACTTATCGCGAGTCATTTGAGGTTCTGAGTTCAAGTCCCACTTGAGGACATCAGTCAAGGGCTGACAATACTGAGGAAATCCTGCACTGCCCGAACTGCTGTCTTTCAGATAAGAGGTCAAACTAAGGCCCCCAGATTCTCTGTGGTTTAAAGAAGATCAGCAAAGTTATCCTGATATCCTGCCCAATTTAATCCTTGTATTAATACCACAAAAACAGATGGTCTGGACATTGCCTCATTACTGTTTGTTGTGAACAAATTGGCTCCTGCTTTGGAACAGAGACTGCACTTTAATGTACGATGGCAGTTTGATACAACATGGATAAATACACAGTGAATTTGCTTCGAGTGCTGGGGTCTCATGGCTGCTAGCTCCTTCCTCAACCCAACTTGATCCCACCGTCATCTTGGCCCAAATCTGATCTGCCTCTCCAACACTGCCCTCCCTCCTTTCTATCCCTCCCCACCTCCTCAGCCTTCCCCCACCCCTATTCATTTCTCTTATGTTTTTGCTCCTGCTTGGGGTCATCTGTGGTATGGTACAAACACAATGGGTTGAATATCCATCTTCTGTACTGTAAATTTTATGGTTGAATTATGACACTTCCCTGACAATTATGGGATGACTTACACTGTGCAACAATTGGCTATGGAGCATTTGGAGACAAAAGATAGAGTCACAGTATGGAAACAGACCCTCTGGTCCAACTCGTCCATGTCAAACCAGATATCCTAAATTAATCTAGTTCCATTTGCCAGCATTTAGCCCATTACCCTGTAAACACTTCCTATTCATGTACCCATCCAGATGCCTTTTAAATGTAATTGTACCAGCCTTACCACCCCCTCTAGCAGCTCATTCCATACACACACCATACTCTGTGTGTACTTCACAGCAAATATTTTATATTTAGTCAAAAAAACTTTAATATTTCAAATAGTTCTTTTATGCAGCTTGACTTCTCCTGTAGCAGACCTGGCAATGAAATGTAACATGGAAATATTTTTGTGATATCTAACATTTCTGAATTTTGTGTTTTCTTTCCGAAGGCTGCTGTTTCCAGTTTGGATGAGATGGCACCAGGAACGACTTTTAAACCCGTCATCGGGGATTCAAAAGTGGATCCAAAAATGTAATTCTTCAATCTCTTTCCAAAATGATCGCGAAGCTTTTTAAAAAGACATTTACAGTAAAGGTTTTTGGACAGCTACATAGGCATTTCAGTGTCCAAAACGTTCCTACTTTATAGAAGCAAATTACTACAGATGCTGGAATCTGCATTGAAAACCAAAAATGCTGGCGATTACAGCGAGTCAGGCAGCACCTATGGAGAAGAGAACAAGCTAACATTTTGAGTCTAGGTGACTTTTCATCAGAGCTGATGTAGAGACATCTAGACTCAAAACAACATTAGCTTACTCTCTCTCCATGGATGGTGCCTGATGAATTGAAATGCCAAAAGATTTCGGATACACTTTGGGATTTAAATATTCTGATCACAGCTGATGGTAATACTGGGCAAGTCAATGTCGTTGGTTACTGTCACAGTTAGTCACTGAACATAAGGGAAGGTGGTAGTGTAATGATAGTATCATGGAGATAGTAATTCAGAACCCCAGATTAATGATCAAATCCCACCATGGCAGATGATGGAATACTCAATTCATTAAAAAACTAACCAAATGGAAACTGATAGATTCACCAATACCTATCTTTCCAAGAAAGGAAATCTGCTGTCCTCGCCCAGTACAGTCTACATGTGACTCCATACCCACAGCACTTGCCCTCTGAGCAATAAATGGTGGCCTAGACAACAACACACAACACACACAAGAATTAATTTTTGAAAGTAATATACAAACACAAGGCTGCAATTGTTCTTTATTGGTTTAATAGCTGGACAGAAGTTTGTTACACAAAGAAAATAAAGCAGTATGTCTTTATACAGCAAGAGGGGTCTATGTACATATTATAGTTATTTATTTAGATATTAAAATACATAAGACAGTTTAGCAATATCTTAACAGCAAAACAAATTTTCAATCCATTTCTCAACACTAATTTTTACAGATACTCACTCCCAGAGAAATAGCACCCCTATTTCAACTCTTTAGTTTTTTTTAAACTGACTCTCTTTCCAGTTCTCCTCCCTGAACGGTTGAGATAGTTTTATGGCATCTTTCCAAGTCTGTTGCCTTGGACCTTTCTTAATTCCAACGGCCTAAAGTTTTCTTTTCCCCAAAGTCTGATAATTTGACATTCGATAAATTCTCAGTTCTGGATATTCTACCAACTAACACTCTGCTGGGAGGGGGTGAATTAAACTCCTGATTTTTCTGAACTGAAGTCAAAGCTAAACTAGTGGCTTTTGATTTTTTTAATATATAAATCTGTCGTAAACTCAGCAGAATAAATGTTTCATCCATTAACACTACTGATGTCCTACGAGGCAGTTACCAGTCACATATCTTCCTGGAAATTATGTCTCCACTTCACTAAAGGACCTTTTAACCTTTATTTAAAAAATAGTTACCTTCATAGAAATGAAACAACACATCTAGCTCAATTCTAAGAATCTAAATCCCAAATGATGATAATTTACGACACACATTTATCTCTCATGTGAATTTGTATCCTTGTGTACACCTGTATATAAAGGCATAGTGTTAGCATCTATTACCTGTAGTATCATTTTCAAGGAGGTGTGCATTCATCTGAATTCCCACATAAGAAAGAAGGATCCCTATTTTGTTTTCTGTTTTCAATCTGTTAGGTTTTAAAACCACTTTGTCAAGTCTCATTGCCACTGTTTTCCATTAACATACTTTCTCAGGTCTTCAATATTGTACAAATCCTTATCTCTCTCCAATCTTTTTAAACCAAGACAATTTGAAACTGCCCAATCAGTAATTAATCAATCTCATCTTCTCCCCTGACCTTGCTGATTGTCCTGCATGTGCACACTTTTTTGACTCATTATTGTCAAATGTACCAAGATACAGTGAAAAGTATTGTTTCATGTGCTATCCATGCTAATCATACCTCACATCATGAGTCATAAAATTGGCCTGAGAGCAGATTTTTTTTTTTTTAACATCATGACACCATAAAGGAAGGATTCAAATGCCAGTCCATTAGTACTATTAATTGGTTCTGAATCCAGTCAAGGAGTCAGCTATCTCAGTTGGCTGGATGGCTGGTTTGTGACATTGATACGACCAGCATGGGTTCGATTCCTGCACTGGCTGCGGTTACCATGATGGACTCTTCTTCTCAATCTTTCCCCTTGCCTCAGGCATGGTGACCTTCAGGTTAAACCACCACCAGTCTTCTCTCTGTTAGAGACACAGCAACCCTATGGCCTGCTAGGACTATGGTGAGTTTATTGCAGTGAAAGATTCCTTCTGTAAGACACCTCTGTGAAATGTAACCAGATTATGGTATCCACACTGATACAAATCCTTCTTTCCTTTTATGGAGTGCTGTGTTGTTTGAAACACCATCCCTTTGGAATGGATGACAAATCAAATAGTTTTTGAATTGTTCAGATGGTCGAGGTACTCCTTCACACTATTCAACGTGCAGGACATTAATCTTCCCTGATCAATATTCTTCCCTCAACTAACACCATGGGAAACACACGTCTTATGCTCTATGGGATCTTGCTTTGTATGAATTAACTGAGTCACTGCACATCAGAAAATTATGGTGCAGTGGTTCCCTACCTCTGGGCTGGGGGCGGAGTGCTGGGTTCAAATCCCAACTCCTCTAGAGACGTGTAATAACATCTCTGAACAGGTTCAGAGGAAAATATGAAGCATTTTCAAATGAAATAAGGAATTTGCTTAAACCATGTTCTTTCCTTTACATTTCATGTTTGCGCCAAAATGGTAATTCAGGTGAATGCTTTAATTAGTCAGGCGGCTTAACATCCTTCGGGGAAAAATTCAAATATGGTCTTTTGAGTTTTGTTTTTCCCCGTTTTAAAACCTAAAGGCTAGTGGTAGGCTCTTAAGTATTTAGCAGTTTGGGTTGTGCATGCTTGGAAACCATGGCAATACATTCTTCACCGACTTTAAGTGTAATCCTTGTACATTTGGCAGAAAATTCTACTGCGTACACTTTGATAACCTGAATGACTCTTCCCGAAAGATTTTCATGAACAGAACATGATAGTCTTGGGGTAATGTCAGCCTTTTCCAGGTTGATGTCAGATTTTCTGTAATTATTCAAATACATTTTTAAATATCTGACACAATTTTGAACTAATTGAAGATTGCCAGTTCTAGAAGTTGAAAACATTTTCTTTCTTGATTTTACTGTTTAGTGTATTAATAATCAGGCACTTTTATGATGTGGTTGTGCCATCTTCTTATACTGGTCTGTTAAAATCCATTTTTTGTGAATTCTTATTTATTTCAGAGTGACTCGAGTGGTGCTATGTTCAGGAAAGCACTATTATACTCTGGCTAAACACCGTGAGTCTTTAGGAGAGGCAGGACAGAACACAGCACTCATCAGAATAGAAGAGCTTTGTCCTTTCCCCTTGGAGGCACTTCAGCAACAAATGGAAAGATACAAAAATGCAAAAGGTCAGGCACTTAGCAAATATTATGTTAACTTTGAACACTTAGCGCAAGATACATACTGTCCACAAACATTTGTTCCACGTGTAAGGCCTCAGTTCCTCCTCCTTTCTTGGATGGTGTAACCTTTTATTAAAGCATTTTTTAAAAATTGTTGACACCTGTTACAGCCCACTGGGGTAGCATGCTGTGAATCGAGCCTCACTATTCCTGGTAAAGTTTTCTTTTAAAGGTACACACTGTACCCCAGTTTACCTGGCTTTCAGATTTAAGGTTAATGGAAAACAAGCATTAAGTTTCTGCTTGAAACAAGAATGATTACAGTCTATTTACTTAAATAAATAAACAATTGGTATATAGCATTACTACCTAAAACTCTAATTCCCTTATAAACACTGAATAAAAACCAAAAGAACTGCAGACGCTGTAAATCAGAAACAAAAACAGAAGTTGCTGGAAAATCTCAGCAGGTCTGGCAGCATCTGTGAAAAGAAACCAGAGTTAACGTTTTGGTTCCTTGGCCCTTATAAACACTCCCTGACACAAATAAATAGATTGTTAGCAGAGGAAAAAGAATCAGGAAAGTCAGTTCAGTGGTCTTTGCCTCCTGATCTTTGTAAAACCGCAGTGACTGATATACTTGGAAAATGTCTGATTTATTAATTTAAAATTCGGCATGCAGCAACTGCCGCAGTAAAGGGAACTGGTTTTATTTAAGTTGAAACTGAGTTTTATTTTACTGCAGAGTAGAAAATTTCTGCTGGGGATAACAACATAACCTTCTCTCTCGTTTCCAGTTCCAACCTGCTCAGTTAGCTGAGAATCAGTCAGCTTCATTCATGACCACTCCCCAGCTCCTGATTGTCTGCACACTGCGGGAACCCAAAGCTGCAAAACAAACTTTATAATCGATGTCAAATTCCTTGCTCTGAAATTATGCCGTTCTTTCTCCTTGCAGTCCACACTTTTTAAAGACACAAAAAGAAAAAAAAAAATGCTGTTCTGACACACCAAGCATTCATTACCTTGACAATTTGCCCAGCAATCAGCTGATGAGGCTATTTAGCTGTGGAGGAGACATCTGTATTCTCAAAACTAACCCCTCTCTTTTTATTATACTTTACACGAATATGAATAAAAATTTATGGGTATCAGTAATATTTATTGTTTTAAACATCAAAGTTTCTTGAAGATATTCTAATTCCACAGCATTTGTGCAGTTGCCTCAAATGAACTCTGGAGTGAGTTCAATATAAATCATAGAATCCCTACAGTGAGGGATGAGGCCATTCAGCTCATTGAGTCCACACTGACCCTCTGAACAGCATCCCCCCTATCCCATCCCTGCATTTCCCATGACTAATCCACCTAGCCTCCACATCCCTGGATGCTATGGGCAATTTAGCATGGCCACTCCACCTAACCTGCACATGTTTGGACAGTGCTACATATTTGATTTTTGACAGACATATCATTTTGCAGCCTCCATATCCTATTTGACTCTGAGCCGAATTTCCAACTGTATCCTGTCTGTCACTAAGATAGCCTTCTTCCCATCACCAGTATTGCTCCACTGTGCTCCTGCCTCTGCTCATCTGCTGAAACCCACATCAGGCTTTTGTTATCTTGCAGTTCAATATTTCCTTGGCTGTCCTCCCACCTTGAACTCACCATAAACATGAGTTCTTTCAAAGCAGCTGTCTGTATCTTAACCTGTCCTAAATCCCTCCCACCCTACCCTTACTATGCTCACTGATCTACGTTGGTTTCGTTTAGACAAACACTATAAATATCAAATTGTCTAAAATGCTCATAGCTCTCCATGGCTTAATCTTTATCTAACTGAGGAACTTCCTCCAACATCATAATCCTCCAAGAACTCTGCACTCTTCCGACTCTGGACTTCTGCATGACCTCAATTTCCTTTGCCCCACCATTGGCAGCAATAACTTAAGGACATCTAGACCTGAGACTTTGAATGCCTTCCTTAAACTTCTTGGCTAATTTTCACCTCTTCAGCCAAGTTTTTAATCACTCCTCTTAATCCCTCCATTCTACAGCTTAGTGTTGCTCTTTGGTTGTGTCTCTGTGAAGCCGCTTGGGAGAACTTTCTACTTGAATATCATATTAAAAATATGTAGCTTGGGTTGTGGGTGAGGTTGTTGACTTACTTGCCGAGCTGGCTTGTTCTTTTTCAGACGTTTCGTCACCGTGCGAGGTGATATCATCAGTGGAGCCTCCAATGAAGCGATGTTATTCTACTCCGCTTGGAATTTATACTGTCTGGTCCGTTATGGTGAGTACTGTCATTTCCGGTTTTGATCTGTATGTGTTTATATATGGGGTCCAATTCTATATGTTTGTTGATTGAAGTATGATCAACATACATTCAAACATATAGAATTGGAACCCATATATAAACCCATACACGTCAAAACCGGAAATGACAGTACTCACCATAACTTAATGGTAATGTCCTGGGGAGTGTTATTGAACAAAGAGACCTCGGTGCGCAGGTTCATAGTTCCTTGAAAGTAGAGTCACAGATAGACAGGATAGTGAAGAAAGTGTTTTGTATGCTTGCCTTTATTGGTCAGTGCATTGAGTAAAGGAGTTAGGAGGTCATGTTGCAGCTGTACAGGACATTGGTTAGGCCACTTTTGGAATACTGCATTCAATTCTGGTCTCCCTGCTATAAGAAGGATGTTGTGATACATAAAGGATTCAGAAAAGATTTATAAAAATGTTGCCAGAGTTAGAAGGTTTGAGCTATAGGGAGAGGTTTAATAGGCTGGAGCTATTTTCCCTGGAGCATTGGAGGCTGAGGGGTGACCTCATAGAAGTTTATGAAATCATGAGGGGCATGGAAAGGGTGAATAGCCAAAGTCTTTTCCCTGGGATAGGGGAGTCCAAAACTAGAGGACATAGGTTTAAGATGGCAGGGGAAAGATTTAAAACGAACCTAAGGGGCAACCTTTTCACACAGAGGTTGGTGCGTGTATGGAATGAACTACCAGAGGAAGTGTTGGAGGCTGGTACAATTACAACATTTAAAAGGCATCTGGATGGGTACATGAATAGGAAAGGTTTGGAGGGATATGAGCCAAATGCTGGCAAATAGGACTAGATTAATTTAGGATATCCAGTCAGCATGGATGAGTTGGGCCGAAGGGTCTATTTTCCTGCTGTACATCTCTATGACTTTAAGAATCTAACAGCAGAGAGAAAATTCAACAGCACGGTAAGCTGATTAATGGAATGAGAGATAGTAGGGATAGTAGGAACTGCAGATGCTGGAGAATCCGAGACAACAAGGTGCACGGCTGAATGAACACAGCAGGCCAAGCAGCATCATAGGAGCAGAGAGG